TCTTCACAATTTAATTAACTTTATTTAAAATGAACTTTTTAAATAAATGTAAAATCAAACAAATTAGCTCTAGCTCAACGGAGCTTCGCAAAACAAACAGATTCGATGATCACCTTGAAAAATCTTTCATAATTTTTTTTTAGAAACTACCAATGTTACTTCCATTAACTTTTTGAGGGGACTCTTCAAAAACCATCGCTAAATTGCCACCGACTGAAGGCGCCCTAAGATTATATTGTTTAAGATGTTTTTATCAGCTAAATATTTGGCTAAGCTCTTTAAAGCCGCAGATGCAGCTTCCTAATGTTGAAGAGTATGGATGGAAAGTAGATAAAGATGGAAGTCTAATACCCACTCTAAGACTCTGCCTGACCTGCCACCAGACATAACAGAACTTACATCATGCAAATGCAAAAAAGGTACTATACACCGATAATTTCTATAGATGTACAATATTCTAACAATATTATTCGGTTCTAGACTGTCAAAATTTGCAAATGCAGAAAACAAATATTGGTTGTATCGGTTCCTGCACCTGTATGGCACAGAAAAACTGCAGAAATAGTTTAATCACAGCCGCTAATGTTTTGAAAAATGTTGATTCGTGTGGTGAATCTGATTTATGCTGTATACCTATATGTACTTCTAAAATTATTATTATTATAATAATTTTTTTTATATTGAGAATTTATTGTATTTTGCGAAGCTAGCCTTACTGTTTATAATCGATACTTATATGTATATACTGTGTTTATACCTTCAATAGTTTGTATTTTCTTATTTTTTATTTTCCTCAAAAAACAAAACAAATCATGAAGTAATTAATACACACCCTATTATCACAGCTTATACAATACAGCTCCACAACTCCGTGTCGGCGTCTTTGATCTGGCGGTCGAGAACCAAGCAAGACGGAATGGTGCTATCTCTGTTAGATTCGAGGGAAAAGTCGGGGCCGGATTAAACAATTTTTTTATTATTGAAAAAATTGAAAACCTTGGCGTAATAAGGTTGGTTACATGCCATATTAAGTAAGTTTTGGGAAATTAAATTTTTAATTTGTTTTAAATCTGTCAAATATAATTAGAAACATTATTTAAATATAAATATTACGAAAAATAGCACATCTTTCGGATTAGAGGTAAAATAATTTGTATGTGGCTAGTAAAATCCTCGTTAACAAATGTTTTGAGCTAAAACAGTCACTTCACGACAAATTGTGGCTTGGATCCTTTTTACACCAAGGGCTTCAATTGTTAAAGAATTGTGTCACGCTCGTGGATGCAAATCAAGTGGTACCCCGTGTCTCTGGCAAGTGTTACTCTTCGCGCAAAGGGTTTACACCTAGATAAACGAATGCTTCGACTGAGGTCTGGGAACTCTATGGTATTTTGGAATTATAAAGAATTTGTGCTTTTATTTTAACAATATTGGTTATATTTAGATGTATTCTTATTAATTGAAATACAGATTTGTAGAAGTAATACTTTGACAGTTTTTATTAATATAATATATTCAATTTTTATCTGACCATACCGAAGTAGGGAATTTTGAAACTTTATAGTAATGTGAAATTTGAATTACAATATTACACGATATTACATAATTAGTACTTATTTTAGGTAGGTACTAAATTTGTACTTGGAGAAAGTAATATCGATTTTTACAAGAAAACTTGAAAAGTAAATTAATTTAGTTCCTATTTCTGATGTAAAACTTAAGTTTTGGTTTAAACCAAGAAAACAAATAAATTATAGTTTGTTCAACAAGGGTAGATATGATAGCAATATCACACAAAGACGAAGTTTGAGCACGACGTCGTATGCGGAGTACTCAATCGTCTGATTGTGATATGCACAATCCACTCGATATGGTCAGTATATTTTTTCTACGACCCACTAACGAAAATCTACAAATTTAAAAAATTATTTTAGGTTATTTAGACAAAATAACTAATTTTAAAATAATTTACGAAGTTGACTAATTTATAAAATAAAATTAACATGAAAAATTAATTAGTCCTCGGCCTAGATTCGATCCCGGGCTTTTCGCGTGGAAGGCAGATGCTCTGTCCTCATCTTCACCGAAACTTTCAAGACTTTAGTTTTAATACTCGTAATTAAATTAGTATCATGTAGTTTGATTAAAATTTATTTTTTTTTTAAATGTGGACACAATAAAAACAAAAATGCTATTATTTATCGAGTCTACACAAAAATTTTAATGTATATTTAATATCAATAACTAAAATATATATTGACAATTAGTTTAACATAATTGTCACTTATTTAAAAAAATTTAAATAATAGGAGTTGGGTGACCAAAATATGAACTGTGATTTGTAGATTTAATTTTGTTAAAGTGTTCTCACTACCTAAAATGGATATGAAATATATTCGTAGTTGAACGCAATAACATACTTTTTCGTTTTGTAGTATGTGCATAGATTGGCTAATATCCATGCACAGATTACAAAACGAAAAAGTATGCTATTGCCTTCAATTGAACGATTATATTTCATATCCATTCTAGGTAGTGAGAACACTGCAAAAAAAATGAAATTCACCAATCACCGTTCATATTTTGATCAACCGACTGCTATTATTTTTAAAATTTTAAATAAATGACAATTCTGTCAAACTAATTGTCAGTATATTTTTTAGTTATTGAGATTAAACATACAATAAAATAAGTTATTCTTTTGGAAAACGTTAGCATGGATGACTAAAGGGTATTGGGTTAATTAATTCTAAAAGTGTGGTACAAATGTTATTTTTTGTAGCCAATTCTTCAAAATTATTTTGAAATATCTTTTCAATATTGAATATTAGTTCTACAAATTCATCATTTGACAGTAGCATATTTCCAAATGTATCTGGATTGGCGTTATCATATGCCTTTAAAAAGCAATAAAAAGAAAAATCATCTAATTCAACGTGATCTTTGTTATATTTAAGACAGGTATCGCAGAGGAGTGGATCCGCAAGGCTTTTATTAAAAGGTAACCACACACATACCTGATAAAATTTTTCTGTATCAATTCGTCTTTACAATAATTTAGGGTGTTAATTTAAAAAACATACATTTTAATTTGCCAGGCAAAAACGTGACACCCTGTATATCCAAAGATATTTTTAAAATATGTAGGTATTTTTCAAATCCATATAACTTTTATTTAAAACTTTCTTGCGTGTCTACAACAAAATAATGAACAATAACGCACTAATGGGATATTCTGCATAAATTATATTTTTAACAATGAAAATTTCTTATAATGTGGTACTTATCGGTTTGGGTCCTTGGGAAAACTAAAGAATGTTTTCTTGCAGGTATAACCCTTATTAAAACAGCTTTTGACTGCACAAACAGAATGATGTCTTTTTTTTTCACTCATTCTACTCATAGCTAAAGAGTCACCAAAATAATAACAGTACCTTTAACTCAAACAAAATCAACGAAATTATAGGCTCCACGAAATTATACAATCAACGAAATTATAGGCTCCACGAAATTATACAATCAACGAAATTATACGCACGACTCAACACCTTACCTAAGTACGCTTCTGAACACCAAAACCGTCTTTTCCCTTCGAAGGCGGAGCTTAAGCGATGCGCGACGAAATCGACGCAAACCGTTGCCGCCAAGAGAGTTTTAGCTGTATTGTATAAGCTGTGCTATTATTCTTAGTGGATAAATCAATAATCCCTGTAAAAAATAATATAAGAGAGTCAAACTGATTGCATACATTTCAGCACTGAGAGAGACGCATAGAAAGTCACTTTGCCTTCAATGTTTGCTTTCTAGTAAAACCATAACATCACTAATGGTTTATGGCTATATTTTTGTTAATTTAAAAGCAAAAAATATGGGGAAAGCACAGTTACCTTGTCAATACATAGGCGAAACTTTTATAAAGAATAGTTTTTTCATTTAGGCCTTCGTTTTTCGCCAAATGAGAGGTATATTTCTAAAAGAAGATTTTTTATACAAATTTGTGGACGGTTAAAACCGAGATATTGACGTTTAATTTTTTTTTTCGACCATAATGATTTTTTTTTTAAATAATTATAAAAAAATACTTTCTACAAAGACCTAATTGTGCATTAGAACAAAAAATAACCATTTTTTTTTTCTATACAGTTGTATCAGTAACTCGATTTTTTATGATAGTGCCCTTTTGCCCTGTCTAATTTTGTATTACCTCCGGAATAAGGGTTAGCTTATCATGTACTTTCATCCCTGAAAAATTCAGCTTGTGACACCGAAGTGGGAGGCAAAGTCAAAATAAATTTTAATCTACACCATACTATTAATTGCCCACATTAAGCCATTATAGAAGTCTGCGTAACACTTTTTAATGTGACTACTTTTTAATTTTGTTTTTTTCTTTTCTTTTTATTACACAGTGATAGGCTTGTTTCAAAGTGTTGACAGAAACATTTTACACCATTTTATTCAGCAAAATTGACACAAGTCAAAATATTACACTTTTGATATGTGATGAACAAACAATTCGAGATACTTTAAAAACTACATTAGCGACCTCTATATCTAATAATTATAGAAACGAATTTATGACACTTTACCAATGAAAAATATAAAGGTTTTTATATAAAACAAAAACTGGTGCTTTACGAGTTGTGTCACTTTTAAAAAATGTTGCGACATTTTTACATTGAAACATCCTATGTTTCATATATCTACTCGTATTTAATGGTCAAACTGGTACATCATTAACTGACGACCTCTGGCGGATTTTTTAGAACTATGCTTTTGTGAGGGACATTTTCTTCTATTTTTATATGGGGACTGATTGAAGTTGAAACACCTATAATAACTACTGTCATGGAGAATTAGACACTTTCAAGAGAGCTAAAGCTAAATAAGTAAAAAAAGACGCAGATAAGTGGTAAGAAAAAAAAATATAACGAAAAACTTTGCAACATGGTGTTGTGTTGTTACATAAAATTAATAATAATTATTTATATTACACTTACGTCAGCATGTAACGCCATCTGCCTCGCTAAAACACCGACATTTTGATCTGACACCAACTTAGGTTCGGAAGACGTCATCAAATTCGCCAGCTCCTCTTTGACTTTTATAACGACGCTGTTAATACCGAGATCCAAAGGTTGGATGATTATGCAGGCGAAAGTGTATTGACCCTATAATCAAAAGTTTTTTTTATAGTGTTTACTAGAAAAACGCTCATTTTTCATACTTTGATAGTGCTGATATTAAAATCCTCGCCACTCTCGTTATAGACGATCGTCACGTAGTTATTTCCGATGTGTCTCTTTTTGTTGTTGCATTGCGGATCGGATTTCTGATTGGGCATCATCGTGGCGACGTGGAACATCACTCTGATGACGTCGTCTTGCCATATATATGCGAATTTCCCGTCGTTTCCGTCTTGATCCAACCCGCCGAGGAAGAATTCCTTGAAGAGAAAACCATAAAAAAGTAAAATACGTTGTATCTCAAAAAATATCAACTTTACAAAAAATTGTTTCAAATAAAATAAATGGAGAATGTAATTATCTACTAAAATGATCGTAGTAAAATTTATACTTTTTATGATTTTTCCAAAATATCTCGTTATCGGTACATTGTAGACGAAAATTAGTTATTAGCAATCTTGTAGAGCATACAATTTTCTATAACTTTTACATTTAATTATTTTCTTAACTTTAATAGTTTAAAGTGTGCAACGCGATAAACATCGCCGTAACGTAAGATTTATTTATATAAAAAAATGTAGGAAATTTTACGTTGTACAACATCGATAATAACTATTTTTCGTCTAAAATGTACCGATAACGAGATATTTGGTAAAAACCGAAAAAAAAGTATGACGCGTCATATCTCAAAAATATCAATTCTATAAAAAAATATCTCAAATAAAATAAATGGAGAATTTAATTATCTACTAAAATGATCCTAGTAAAATTTATACTTTTTATGGTTTTTCCAAAATATCTTGTTACCGGTACGTTGTAGACGAAAAAGAGTTATAAGCAATCTTGTAGAGCATAAAATTTTCTATAACTTTTACATTTAATTTTTTGTTCTAACTTTAATAGTTTAAAGTGTGCAACGCGATAAACATCGCCGTAACGTAAGATTTATTTATAAAAAATGTAGGGAATTTTACTTAGTACAACATCGATAACAACTATTTTTCGTCTAGAATGTACCGGCAACGAGATATTTAGCGAAAACCATAAAAAAGCGTAGCGTTTCATCTAACAAAAATATCAATTTTACATAAAAAATTACAAATAGAAAAACGAGATATTTAATTTTATTACTATTTTTATCGTAGGATCAGCCGTTCGGTTGATAATTAACAAAATGGCGGAACTTTGTTATTTCCAAAAAGTAAAAAATATGACACCCAGAGTATTGCTGTTAAAAATTACTCTGTATAATGCTAATCGTTATATAAAAATTGTGTTACAAAATTACAGTTCATCAAATTTCTAGAGGTGTTCGACGCCCAGACAGAGAACGCGCTACGTGTGACTAAGATAGCTATTGTACAGTCTGCTAAACAAGTTATTTTAAATAGTTTTTAATATTTTTAGGTAATTAAATATTAAAAGTGTGGAATAGTTTAGGGATTAAATTGGTCTGATTGGACTTTCTTAGAACGTTTTTAAAAGCAGCTAAAGATAGTATGTAGAATTGAAAATAATTATTATGCCATAAAAGGTGTTTTGGAATTCCTTCAACCTTTTGAAATTGAGTCAGAAAATATAAATTTTATAGGATAGCGGAAAATACCTATAATTTTTTTGTAGGCCTTTGTAAATCGTGGAAATAGTTCATATTTTATTTCTACCTTATTAAGGAAAATGGTACCTATTATTAATAACGGTTGTTTCTGAAACATTACTAAAATTTTCGAAATTTTGTTTTTCTACAAAATAATAAACTATACTATTTAGAAAAAAAATTATTTCTCTTATAATTTTATAAAAAATAACAGGGGAATATTTAAATTTCTTGATCTACTAAACAAAACGATAAATTATCTCGACGAATGACACCATGTTCTAGTACGGAAGCTAGCTTTACATTTTTGTTGGTGGTTTCATGGGTTTCATATCAATTTTTTGTAATTGTAGTTTACACGTACATATACCTCTTAACACTTGTTTGCTTTATTAAAAAAGTGTGTTGTTGTGATTTACGTCGAAATAAGTCAAAAACAACTTGAAACCCCATATAAAATCAAAAAGGAGAAACGGAAAAAAATTGAGCCTGTAAATGAACACAACTCAGAAACAAAAATAGCTATCTAATAATAAAAAAATAAAATTTGATTCTTGTGCAGCTTCATCTATATCACTAACTGTTTTTGGTTTTTTAATGGTTTTTCTTGGTGATGAAAATTCCGATATCTCACGGTTATCGATTCTTTTTTTCTCTCCAGAAATGCGGACGACAGTGTTTTTAGATACTCCTGTGGCTGCAGCAACACGATCATTTACATTTTTAAATGGTATTGAAGGTGAATTAAAGTTTCCTTCTCTTCTCATAAACTCGATAACATTGGCTATTATTTCGCGAGATTGACTGTTAATCACGCGGCCTCTTAATTTGCTATTAAACTCCATACTTAGGTTCTATTAAACTGTAATGAGCAAAAAACACAAACGAAAATAAAAGAAATGTTTTAGCGAAATTTACATCTGACATTTACGTCTGAATGAAATAGTGAAATACTTGATGCGCAGAGTGTACTTTCATTGCGTAAATCCGTCGGGATGCCTGTCAGTAGTGCTTTCTCTGTCTAGCCGTCGAAAGCCTCTAGAAATTTGATGAACTGTATGATTTATTCGATACTAGTGATGAGTAGCTTGGAAAAGTCCGCAAGCGAGTCAGACGGATTAAGGCTAGTTCATGTAGATGCGAATCACGAATTGCGAAAGCGAAATTCGCAAAAAAATATATTGTTTTTTATGTCAATGCATGTACTTGCGAATGTTTTGACAGGATTCTGGGATATTTATTATTTTCACTAAAACATATTCGGCAGTTGGTATTATTCCACAACAATACATAACCCATAAGTTCAGTGACATAACCCCGATTTGTGTCTGCTACCGATAAATAGTTATATAAAATAAAATGAATGACGAATACGATAATGAATTAGCTTTATTTATTGATAAAAAATACATATGATTAGAATTAATAGTACGCAGTTTACGTCTGTGAAACATTTAAACAGGAAACAACAAAGAGCAAAATATCACAATTTAGCATATATTCGGCTAAATCTCACCAAAAAAAAACAAAGAAGAATATCATGAACATACTCGCAAATACCGCAAATATAATACCAGGTCTTCAACAATACCCGAAACCCACGTGATCTGGTAGCATCAAAAACACAGCGAAAGGGCCTGATTTGGTTCCTTATATGTCAACTGTCGTTGTCAATACTGTCAAAAATATCATTAGCGTTCATTTGGGTTTTTGGGTATATTTATAATATTTATATTATTTAAAGGTTATTGATTTTGCATTTTGTCAACACGCTTTTATTAAATTTTTCCTCAAATAATAATAAACCAATCAGTTCTTTTTAGAGCTCATTAGTGCTTTCATTCTTTTTGGCCGGTAAGTGTAAATTTATTTACTTTTATACAAGTTGATTGGCAATATAATTTTCAGCTCAAAATGTTTAAACCGGAACAAGATTCTTTTATTTTAATGGCACATTATAGAAGTGGATCTCGAAATGATGATGGAAATTGGTCATATTCAATTCAGAGTTGCATTCAACAAATTGAGGAACGTTTTCCAGCTGTACAAATAGAATATGATAGTTTTCGTCATCATAGACATATTCTTGTTCAACGTTTTGAAACAAAAAATTGCATTTGTAAAGGAAAGGGTTCTGGAAGGCCCACAGTAATAACCGAAGAAGTTGTTCAAGATGTGCGAATTCGCATGGAGCAAAGTCCCACTAAATCAGTAAAAAAGTTAGCAGCTCAAGCAGGTAAGAACAGTGTTTGGGAGCTTGACTCTCTTATAATCTAATTTCATCGTTTTAGATTTATCTGTAGGAACTAGCCATAAGATTTTGAAAAAAAATCTATCAATGCATCCTTATAAGGTTTCAGTACTGCAACAATTGTTTCCTGGTGATTTTGTTAAACGTATGGAATACTGTCGATGGTTCAATGAGCAATTAAATGACAATAACTTATTGGATCGAACTTTTTTTACTGATGAAGCATGGTTTCACTTATCAGGATATGTCAATAGTCAAAATTATCGAACATGGGCAACTGAAAATCCTCATTCATTTGTGGAGACAAGTCTACATCCCATAAAAGTTGGTATTTGGATAGCAATTTCAAGAAGAAGAATAATAGGGCCCATATTTTTCTATGACACAATTAATGGCCAACGTTATCGAAATATTTTTCTTGAATTTGTTGAACAGCTACAGGATGACGAGTTACAATTGGGTTACTTTCAACAAGATGGAGCAACAGCTCATACAGCTAGAGCTACTATTGACCTAATAGAAGAATATTTTGATGACCGAATTATTAGTAAAGGATTATGGCCTCCAAGATCTCCAGACCTCACACCTCCTGACTACTTTTTATTTGGTCATATAAAAAATAAAGTATTCAGAAATCGTTTGCATGATGTGAATGAATTGGAGCAAGCTATAGTTAATGAAATTGAAAGTGTAACTGAGGAGCAACTGCATAATGTGTTCGAAAACATGAAAAGAAGGGTTAATGCTTGCATAGAAGCTGGTGGTGAACATTTTGAACACTTACTGTAAATGTATATTCTTTGTACAACATCAAATTATCCTTTAAAATAAATTATTGAAGTTGATGTGATCAATTCTGTTCAGAACTGGATTTTTTTTTGTTTATATCAATATGACTTTTTGTTACATTTTTTATATATATATTTTAAATGAACAAAAACAAATTTAACATGAAAAATTAGCATATTCTAAATTAATTTTCAATTTTATAGATACCTACTAATTTAAAATAAATAAAAACAAATTAAAAATTGTATTTGTTTATTGTGTCCCATTGCCCATGTACAATTCCATCTCTTAAAGTAAATTTTAAATTGATTTCTAATTTCTAAACGTGCAACAAGCTAAATGTATGATCTGTAGGTACTTTCTATACCTATCAAGTTGATGTATTTGTAAGATTTAATAAGTCTACTACTAAACGAAAACATTCAAAGCGATTATCACATGTTTAATCAAAATAAGATTACTATTACTTATTCTAACCAATACTGTTGTAATTTAAACAGTCAGCCGTAGTTATTATAATATACCAGTTGCCATCAAGCTAAAATAAATAATTTTTAATTGTGTTCTTTATGCATAACATTTTTTAATCCTCCGTTCCCACACTTAATTTTTATCAAGAATTTGTCCCTCAAAATTTCAATTATTGAATAATAATAATTCAAAATTCAGCTCTTTTAATAAAATTGGGAGCTGTCCCATTCCGCTACACGCACTGGGACATATGGGATATATTTATACACAAGAATTGAACTTAAAACTCAAAACAATTTTTTTAAGGTAATTTAGATCCCAATAAACATATGTACCAAAAAAAACTGATGGCTAAAATGCTATTTTATTGACTTAAAAAGGTAAAAGACAATTTGTATCACAAACGAATATATTAAATTTAATCTAAATAAACGTAATCATTTAGTTGAACTATATACAAAATTGGTAAACAAATCCAAGATTTTCGGGTAAATTTCACTTGTATCCGCTTTTTCTTTTTACGACTGGCAACCTCTTAGTCTTTGGAGGTCTTTCTTCAGTTTTCTTTTCGCTACTTTGCTCAATTTCGGATTCAGTTTGAATTTCAACATAATTAAAATCCTTATCAGAATTTTCACCGCAAAATAATTCATGTTTATTCTATCCTTTAAAGATTCAGGAACAACGTGTTCTAATTGTATCTCGCTCAAAGGGCGAGAGGTGGAAGCATTTCTATGTAAAAATAAAATACCATGCCAATACAATACCATATGTAATTTAAAAATACCACTACTTCAAGATCCTATCGCAAAAAAAACAAATATTAAACTGTTACAGCACACGCTGGGACATAGTCTTTTGATGGGTATAGACTGAACTTCACTTGCAGAAGTACCTCGACCATATTGAATGTGGTGGAAACTAACTGAATTTATACCAGCGGTATTGCTATTACTTCCAAACTTGAAGATAAAGAAGTGTACGGACGGAGCATCGAGATAAAGTACGGAGGGTTAAATAAACATTAAAAACAAAAAAAAAAAAACAGTCAAGAATCTCAAGATACGGTGATCTTAGGTTAGGTATCGAATTATTCTTCTTTTAATAAGAGAGGTATTGAATTCAATAGTGATTACATAAAAAAATTTAAAGATAAGATTTTATATTGGCCTTAATGGAATTCTAACATAAAAATATAATAATGTAAAGCACCATTAATTTAATAATATGATTTTTTTTGTTATATCTCACTGTATTTTGTTCTTAAGGTTACAGACCATAAAAAAAAGAAGAAGATATATTTTATTTAAAACACCTACAGCACTGGCCAACATTTAGGGATTTTTACTATTATTTTCACCAATCGCTGTCATGACGTTTTGATCACGTGGGTTTCGGGTATTGTTGAAGACCTGGTATAATAATATGTATAACTACACAACTAATGTAACTATGTATGTGTATTGCTTATAACAACTATCGGCAACTATACGGTCCCTTCAATGTCACTATATCAGGGTTTGACTGTATTTATATTGGCGACAGTTGTTTACCCTGTAATCACAGTAACAATATATTTACCTACTTGATTATTCTGAGAAAACCGCGCGCTTGGTAATTTGTCGTTAAATGTAATATTTTAGGTATGTTCAGAACAAAACAGAAATTTATTAACTTTGATCGAAATATGATGGTTGTAAATAAAATAGTATACAAACCTCGGTAGGAAGTTTCATTCCTGTCTAGAGATCATAGCTAACCTCGACGCTTCGCGTCTCGGTGATCTAATTAATCTCACGACAGGAATGAAACTCTTCCCACCTCGGTGTGTAATATACTATTAACTGTGTGTCCTCTATGTCCAAGGTCGATTACTTTTCACTGCTTTTCTAAAGATGTCCTACGGACAAGTTCAAAAATTATTTTTCATGAAAAGTCCCATCACTATTCGATAATATATACGAAACAATGGTCCAGTTTGAGCAAGTTACGATCCGGCAGGCGAAAAACTATATGTAACAAATAGTTAAATATCGTTCAAGATAGAAAAAAAAATACCTGAGGATCTAAGTCAGCCAATTTGACAAGAGTACCGAGCTGCTGGAGGAACTCCACATATCTCAACGATCCAAACCGGTTCTTAAAAATCTCCACTTCGGAATTGATCTGCCCCTCCCTGACGTAAAGCACGCCCATTTTATGCGTCTCGTACGGAGGAATATGGTCCAAAATCTTCAAAGCCCTTTGTATAACATCATTACACTCGACAAGAATCGGCCGCTCGGCTTTATTCGCGAAAGTGGTAGAGTGGTATAGCTGCAGGAAAACGAAACTCGGATTTATCCCGCTTTTAGGCGGGTCTTTCTGTTTTTTCTGCTGCTGTTGCTGCGTATCCGATCGCGATATCCTAGTAGCTGGACTGGAAACGGATATCGTGTGCACCCTATCGCGCTTCTGAGCCTGATTCGGCTCCAGAGTGCTCAATCGTTCCACGCTACCGCTGTTTTTGCGTTCTCTCGCCCGTTCTCTGGCCCAGTTCAGGTTTATCGAGGTGTTGCGTTCGATCGTGGAGGCCGACGAGCTCTTTTGGATTTCACGACCGTCCCCTGCGGTTTTGATCAACACGTGGGCGTGCCTTCCGAACCTGGGCGACGTCTGAGTCGGACTTTGAGGCGGTTTACTGCTCAGCGGTTCCAAATTAGTCAAATTAGGTAAGTTTGTCGGTCTCTTGATGAATTCCGGTTGTTGAGAACTGCTGGCCACGTTCGGAGTGGGCGGAACCGTTTGGTATGGTTTCGGAGCGACGTTTTCTTTAGGCGGGGATGAACCCGGATAACTGTGACAGCTCATAAGCGACGGATGGTGAGAGGAACTGAAGATCGTGCTGCTACCGGTCGAATCCGATTTCGTTACTTGCATGGAGTCGCTTGAAGGTGGGGTCGTACCTAAAAAATAAAACGTATTGATTTAAGTGTAATAAAAACAGGTTTTTTTCTGAAAAATAAACTTTTTCTATGATTTTTTGACACACAAATATTTTTTTTATGCTAAAACTATAAAAAGTTATTCGGTTCAGAAAACCATAAAATAGTATGATGCGCCGTATCTAAAAAAACATAAATTTCACAACAAAATGTCTCAAATAAAAAAGCGGGAAATTTAATTAATTTAAAATTTGTATGTTTTATATTTTTTCCTAAATATCTCGTTACCGCTCCGTTATAGATAAAAAACAGTTATTATCAATTTTGTAGAGCATAATATTTGCTATAACTTTTACGCTTAATTTTTTTTTCTAACTTTAAAAGTTTAAAGTTTAGAGCGCGATAAACATTACCGTAACCGGATTCATACAAAAGTTGTAAAGAATTTTACGCTGTACAACATCGATAATAACCATTTTGCGGCTAGAATGTATCGGTAACGAGATATTAATTGAAAACCACAAAACAAGTGAGAAGCTGGCAGGAAAAACTTTGAATTACGCAAGCAGGATAATTAATACGACCATTGTATAACGTTCAGATACACTAAAATCACGGTGGCATTATTAGTAAGGGCAGAATGGGATTTTGGCTCCAATTTGAGTTAATTTTTACTACAGGATCAAATATGTAAGGGTTGAACTTTACAAACTCAAAACTTCGAAGAATATTTACCTGATCCCGCAATTTCTTCTGGTATAGCCTCGCAACTGACTCTCATATCCTTTTGGTAACTCTTGTTCTTCTTTCCTGCTTCATCTTCGGAGTATTTGATGTCTTCTTCCGAAAGGATCTTCTGATGTAGAAACGGATTCTTCCAGCTGGCAGACATTTCGGGGCTAGAATTCGATCTGCGAACCGGGTTTCTCGATCTGGTGCCGTCTTCGTATACGTACTCTAATTCTTCTTCAACGCTGTCGCGCGAGTCTTGTCTGGAGGGCGATTGCTTGGGGGATTCTTAAAGAAAGTCGTTAATGTAAACAATATTGAAATTTTCTTGTTTTTCCCCAGATTTGGGGAAATTCTGTTAACTTATGTAGATGTGGCAAAGTCGCAATGCAGGAACCTTAATCACTGACTTACCAGCAACATATGAGCATTATAAGTGACATATTAGATAAACCTCTGTATTGCGATATTGCCACATGTATAAGGTTAACAAAATTTCCCGAGATCAGAAGAAAAACAACGAATTTGTACTTTTCCCCGTCTATTTACCAGTTAAACTCGGGTTGGAACCCAAAGCTTTATCATCGTCTGGATTGGCCTGATCCTCGGAAAACTGTCTTCGCAGAGGAGGCCTAACATGCGGATCGGTCTCTTCCGGTATTAACGAAGGCATGAACAAGGTCGAGATTTCGTTCAATGGATACTCGTATATGGCTTGAGTGAAGTTTATGTGATTTTGGATGCGCATCACCCAGGACATGTCGCCTGAAAAGGTTTGAATATCAAATAAACAAATGGAATATGGAGAGGTAGGAACACGGGTTTATTTGGAGCAAAGTTGATATCTCCACAAGAAACACTACAAAATGAAATGGAGGAAAGTGGAAAACCCTAGCAAAGACTTAAAAATGTTGATGGATCTCTAAACAAAGAATCTGTTTACGTAAAACTTCTCTTATTTAACCAACCCTATAATTCTTATAGTTATTGAGATTCCTTACCGGTGGGTCTCCTGACATAAACCTCCGCCCATCCTGAACACCAGCAATTGCAACTCTCCTTCTCCTGCTTGATATTACTGGCGATCTGTTGCAATTTCGACGAAACGATCTCCAATTTATCGCCGATTTTCTTATTATCCTCGCTCGGCGAACTGACCGACGTATTCGTGTTAGATTTATCGTTGGAATTCTGTCTAGAAATCCAATCCAAGTCTTCGGTCTCGTTGCTACCGCTACGTCCCGTAGCTGTCTTCCTACCGTCGTTCTGCTTGCTGCACAACGTCCAACATTTGTCGCAAAGACCGTTCTTCAGTATTTTCTTCGAACAACCGCTCGTAGTTATCGTTATCAACTTGTTGCCGATAAACCACATCATGCTTTGGCCTCCTTTCATCAAGAATTCCGCCACGGGAAGCCTATAAGAAAACGTAGAGGCAGCGATCCAATAACTATGATGCTGCTATATATCAAACGTCATATGTCAAGTAATGCAATTATTCTTACCTTTTCGGTAAAGCGCTACATGGCGAATAAGTATACCTGGCCATCAAATCGATGCACGTCTCCGTCAATTCTTCGTAAAAGTTCATAGTGAGCGATTTTTCGGGCGCCGGTCGGTGCACGACGGGTTTATCCCGAGTGGAAGACACCGTCGCGGATCGTTTTCTGGAACCCTGTTCCGTTAAGCTGGAACTCCGTTTGCGATCCGAACTGTCTTGGTTCAAATCGCTCAGGTTCTGATTGAATAGGCTGCTTTTCGTCTCTTCAAACGGTATCAGAACGTTCGTTTGAAGACCCTAAAAAAAATAGTTACAAGAAGACTTAGCTGGACGGTACGCTGATAGTTCTGAGGTGTGACTAGAAAAAAACCGGACAACCAGTAAGTTTCTATAGGACTAATTCGAGTAACTTTACCTACTCAGATGACATTGCCATATAAACAAAAGTAAATTGAGAGATACTGTACAAAAGCTAGTACTTATATATTTGATACACTTGTGACCTATTAAAAAAAGTCATTATTTTGTACATTGAATGTCAGCAACTTTTTAAAGAAAGTTCATTTAAATTTGTATTCATTAAGTATTCGTTTTTGGTGTAACAGGAATGCCATTTTGCGATAAAACATTACTTACAAAAATATAAATTGGACTTTTAGAAGGTAAATCGAATGCACACTTCTTAGAGGTATAATTGGAGCTTAAGAAATTATAGAAGGAAATATTACAGAACCGGCAACCTTTAGGAGATAAAGCAACATAGTCTGAAGTGTCTAAGTACAATAAAGAGTTTACTGAATACAGAAGAATAGACAGCAGTGCAATGATTATACTAACTACCAATATGACTGAAGATACATTAAAGAAAATAATGCGATTTTCCACAGCAAGACAGATTTGGCAAGAACTGCATAGATTCTATGACGGTGCAACTGAAGAAAAAGACTAAAGACTAAAGATTATGTTTAGAATTCTTTAGTTATCAAAAGAAAGCCAGTGATGATGTAGAAACACACATGACTAAACTTAAAAACCTTTGGAATTCAAAAGGTAGATTCAATTGAACTACCAGAGCTGTTATCTGTAAAATTTTGGGAACATTCCGGAAAATTACTTTCCTTTTTGATACAGTTGGATGTTAATGACCAAAAATAATAGAACAGTAGACTAACCAATTGTGTGCCTACGAAAGAGCTTTAAAAGAACAAGATAAGTATACACCAGGAAGTCAAGAAGTTCTGCTAGTAAATACAACATATTTTAAGAAAAATGAGTTTAAAAATTGGCTATGCAAATACTGTCAAGAGCGAGGCAATAGAGTAAGAACTTGCCCTAAGTGGCATGCTGATGACAGACCTCCTAAGTTAAATACAGACAAATCAAAAGACAATATGATGTTAATCTCCGCAAGTGAGTCTGATAACATTAGCTGGTATGTAGATAATGGAGCAAGAAACCATATTACATACTGTTCAGAGCTATATGATACCTTTGAAGCCTTCATAACCAAACATCATGTAACGACGGCAAATAATGAATCAGTAAAAGCCTTTGGTCAAAGGACAGTAGTTCTTGAAACATTAGTCAACAACAAAAAAAAACAAGTTAACCCTTAGTAATGTGTGCTATGTTCCACAAATCAAAAAAATTTGTTTTCAGTTCTATCAGCCCAAGACAAACATTCAAATAGCCATTTTATGTCAACGTCGGTAAGATGCAGTTTGAAAGTATTAGACAACATCGTTTTAGAAGGATATAGAAGTCAAGATTCTAGGCTAAACGTTAACAGTAAACTAAAATTTCCTGAATTAAACATGATATCAAGTCAGTAGCAACTGCAATTATTTCACGAACGACTAGGCATGTAAAAATGATCATGTAACGAAATTTTGGATTAAAAGTATATCTAGATAGTGAAATATGTAAGGATTACGTCTATGGAAAAACACACAGAAAGAAATTTGGAACAAGGGAGCATGCGACACAACCTGCAGAACGTATACATACTGATGTATACGGCCCTTTTCTTTCCTCTATGTCAGGTTATCGATACTATGTATTGTTAGATGACTTTTCCTATTTCCGTGAAGTATTTTTTATGAAACAAAAATCAGAAGTTGCTTCTAAACTGGAAGAGCCTTAGGACATACAGTCCAAGAACTATTATGTGACAACGGAGGAGAGTTTGATAATCAAAAAGTCCAAGACATCCATTCCAAATTAGGAGTTAAACAACGATTGATTATGCCTTATACTCCGGAACAAAATGGTTCTGCAGAGAGAGAAAATAGAACGCTTGTAGAAACAACTAGAACTCTTATACATACTGATGATCAAATTCCGCATGGACTTTGGGCTGAAATGATAAACTCAGCAAAATATATTCTTAATCTGAGTGATTCTTCCAGTATTGAAGGAAAATCGCCAACATGTGTGGACAGAAAAGAAACCTAGCTTGAAGCATCTACGGACTATAGGAAGTACATGTTATACCCATACCCCAAGCAACAACGGAAGAAAATTGACAAAAAAAGCCATAAAAGGTATCTTAGTTGGATATGATAGTGTAGATTGGTATCGAATCTGGTCTAAAGAAAATAACGAGCTTATATCTCGTGATGTAACATTTCAAGAAGAACCTCTATCAACCAAACAAGATTTTCAGTTAGAAATTAATAAAGAACGTGAAGAAGAAAATAATACATATGAAGAAATTAAAGAAACTGTTGAAACAGAGACTCAAACGGATCATATCTTAGACGATAATAATCCGTTAGAAGAATCGTAATGGAAAATTCAGAACTAAACCAAGATGAAAAACGAAATTTGCGAGACAGATCCAACATTAAAATACCGCAACGATTTGACGAGTTTGTAATGTCTGCAATAGCAAGTATGGATGATATAATTGAACCATCTTCTTATTTAGAAGCCATTAACTGTTCAGATAAAGAAGAGTGGAAGAAAGCCATGGATAAGGAAATTACGTCTTTAAAGGAAAATTAAACTTGGACATTAGAAGAACTTCCTGTAGGAGTAAAACCACTTCCAAGTAAAAACGAATCCAGATGGCTCTATTGATAAATACAAAGCTCGTCTAGTAATTAAAGGATTTGCCCAAAAGAAAGGATTGGACTACAATCATTTAGTTCAGTAGCTAGAACTGGAACTATAAGTCTTATACTAGCTTTGTAGCAAATGAAAAGTTAACATTAAGTCAATTTGATGTCAACTGCCTTTTTTTATAGTGCACTTGAAGAGATTATATTCATGAAGGATATAGGGATGGATCTGACAAATATTGTAGGTTGAAAAGAAGTTTATATGGACTAAAACAAGCGCCGCGTTGCTGGAACCAACGGGTCGTATTAAAATACGTGGTTCAATGAAGCTGTTACTTGCACTTTATGTTGACGATGGTCTTATTGTTACGACTCACCCTGAAGAATCTTCAGATTTTATTGAAGAACTTAAGTCCGAATTTAAAATCACATTGAAGCCTGCTACTTATTTCTTGGGAAATGAGAACGAGAAAAAGAAGGACAGCTCAATCAAAATACACCAAAAGGCATTAACAGAGAAAATTTTGGAAAGATTTAATATGGACAATTGTCGACCAGTTTAAACGCCTATTATCAAAGATTGCAGAGAAAGTTGAAGAGGAAAATGAGCCTTCTTCGGAGTTTCCCTAGAGACAAGCTGTAAGTTCACTTATGTACCTAATGGCAGTCACGAGACTGGACATAGCATATGCACTAGGTGTTCTCTCGAGATCGCTAGAACATCCTTCAAAAGAAGATGTAATAAATGTAAAAGTATATTTCGTTTCCTTCTAGAAACAAGAGACTATGGAATTACATACAAATCAAATTATCAACAAGACGTTATGGAAAGCTACAGTGATGCTGACCATGAAGGCGATAGATCTACTAGACAATCAACATCGGGTGTTGTTTGCTTTATTCAGCAGGTGCGGTCAGCTGATTGAGTAGCTATATCGACTACAGAATCTGAAATCGTAGCTGCCAGTGAAGCAGCTCCAAAAATTGTTTGGCCCAAACGTCTTTTAATGGAAGTTACCCAGTTGAAGGTTATTCCCGAATTTCAAATTGACAACGAAGCTGCTTTGGAGTTAGCTCAAAATCTCGAATTCCATAGGCGTACTAAACATATTAGGACACGACATTTTTTTATTAAAGAATTGGTATCAGATGAAGAAATTATTGTCCAGAAGGTATCGTCCGAACTCCAATTAGCCGATATGATGACTAAATCAATCCCAAAGCCTAGGTTACACAATCTCTGCAAAGGGATAGGACTAAGTGACTAAAAGAAAACTATTTAATGAGGGAAAGTGTAAAATAGTTACATTATAGTTACATTATAATGTTTTCTCTTTGCTTTATCACTTACATATTTATGATAAACACTTGTTACCTATTGAAAAAAAAAAAAAAGTCATTATTTTGTACATTGAAAGTCAGCAACTTTTTAAAATAAAGAAGTTCATTTAAATTTGTATTCATTGAGTATTAGTCTTTTTGGTGTAACTTCAACAGAAAGGAAGTTGAAGAGGACATTAAAAGATTGAACGTTGCATACTGGAAAAGAAAAGCTGAAAACAAAAAATTATAAATAATGCCATGCATCTTCTAGATTCTTAGTGCCTATCTGGTTTTATTATAATCACACCTCGTAACCTCAAATTTAACAACCAATGCTTACTTTTGTAATAAACTTAACGAAGTCCTTTCTGAAAGGCAACCGGCACTTCAAAAACCACACGGCTATCACGTGATGGGCCAAAGACACCGTATAAGGCTCGTATTTGAAAGGATTTGTATACGGCAAGGATATAGCGAATACTGCCATGTATTGATCAGCCACGAAATTCGTATACACCGTCGGCAATTGAGTCAAAGCTACAAAAAATATAAATTTGACGTTTTCCAAGCCGACAATTGACATGCGCCAACCATGCCTTTGACATAAATCAAATTTGACCGATTTGACTTATGTCAACTGTCAGTAACTTAACGTACGTTTTAGGGTATGGTCCGATATTAATCGACTACTAAGCGAAACTAAGCAGGATTTTGTTGGACCACGACCGAGAATTGCTTCATTTTTGACATTCGACTTAATGGTAACCGTAAAAATATGCCAGCTAGTGAATTGACGTTTGAGACATTATTTTCAGGTAATTGCGTCTCTAATTTAACCAGTTTTTCAGGAATGTCAAGCAGAGTTGTTAGTTTTGGACCGAATAACCGACATTTCGATTAATATCGGACCATACCGTTAATTGACTTAATGTATTTCAAACATCAACAAGTCGAAGAATATAATAATACTAAATAGTCTTTATTTATCATAGGTACATATTCACAATAATAGTAGGGGAGACCGTGGGAGGTCGACCTTCTCCCATCTGACTAATTAAACATAGCCATGAACACTTTTCTAATGTCAAATTCCCATAGGCGTGTTAATAAATCAATAAAATTTCATAAAAAATATGCCTCATCTGGTTATTAGATGGGTGAAGGTCAGCACAAGGCCGTTTTCAACTTAACCTGTTAAGCAAATAAATTTGTTCTATTTTACACAGAAAACACAAAAATATCAATTTATATTTCATTTTTTATTATCGTTGGAAATCTAATCTCAGGTTCTTTTCAGGGTGACTCGGGACATGCTCCGAAAATATATCAAGAGGCTTGATTCTAGGCCATATAAGAATTATGAAAGCAAAAATCTGCAGAAAGGCTGGAGAAAGGAACCAGCTATAGAAATCTGGAGATTAAATACGGAATACCTAAAAATACAATAAATCAGCATGTGAAAAATAGGAATGTGAAAAAACCTGGTGGACAATTGAATCGGTGAGTTCGAAAACCGTACATGTCCAAAATCAACCTTCCGTGAAAAACAATAAAAACCTTTCAACGGATATGTATCTAGTATGGTTTTTAAGCTCAATCAATGAAGAAACAAATTTTAAACAAAATGGCTATCTTACTTTAAAACGTAAAATTTTGGACTTCAATTAGCCATAACGAACGTCGAAGAAAACAAAATTGTTAGTTCTTTGATGTGTCTTGCCGATTGGGGATTCCCATTAGAACCAATGGACGTGCGTATTTTGGTGAAACAGTATTATGATAAAGGGGGTGTAAGCATCAGAAGATTTACCAATAACTTGCCAGGACCGGACTGGATGAAATCTTTTCTCATTCGCCACAAAAATAATTTAGCACTGAGACTTTCGGAGAATATAAAACGAGCAAGGGCTGCAGTTGATATTCATATTTTGATGAATTGAACACATCTTTAGAAAATGTTCCTCCTTTGCATACCGTTAATTACGACGAGACAAACTTTACTGATGACCCTGGCCGTCAGCGAGTCGTAATTCGTAGGTCCAGCAAACATGCAGACCGTATTCTTGACTCCAGTAAAACATCGTCATCTGTTATGTTTGCCATCAGCGGATCTGGTGAAATGGTATTCAAATCAGAGCATCTTTATCAAAACTGGGTGAAAGATGGGTCACTAGATATGGAAATACTAAGAATAGATGGTCCTATTCGAACCAATTTGAAGAACGGTTTTTAATAATAGCATTAGCTTACTTCAGAAGACTTCAAGGTCCGAAGGTTGTTATTGGTGACAATCTGGCAAGCCATGTCTCCCAAAATGTCTTCATGGAAAGTCAAAAAAATAACATCAGATTCGTTTTACTTCCTCCAAACAGCACGCATCTCACACAACCGCTTGACACTGCATTTTTCAAGCCTGTTAAGCAATCGTGGAGAAAAACTCTGGGCGAGCGGAAGGAGAAAAATAGAGGAGTTATCCATAAAACCAGAATTTTCAGGATTATTGAGAAAAGCTTTGTTAAATTTTGCAGACAAATTGGAAGATAACATTAAGGTTTTCGTGGTTGTGGCATTATTCCACTTGACAGAGAACAAGTTTTGAAGCGTTTACCTCCAGAAATTGTCAACGAAGATTTTCTGAAAACCCAGCGAAACCCACAAACCCCCGCAAAGAAGGCAAAACGAAAGAAAATTCCCGTAACACCTGGTAAAAGTATGGTGTGCCAATCAATATCTGATTCTGAGCCCGAAAATGATTCGGTATGTGATGACAACGAAATTTTCGAAGAAAATATAAACGACACCGAATCAGAGGGAGAAGCAAGAAATTCACCAAATGTAGAAAACGACGGAGAAAAACCAGGCGTAAAAGATTTGGAAACAGATGACTTTGTCATTGCAAAATTTACAGAGGGAAATCTTTCTAGGAATTTTGTAGGTCAAATCTTAAGAAACAGTGATGAACTACTGTGCATTAGTTTTTAAGAGAAAGCTCTAAAATGGAAAATACCTTAATTTTTCCACAAGTCCCTGATGAATGTGAATATATCTCAAATTCTTAAGAAACTTCCACAACTAGTGCAACTTCGGAGCGGGGGTGTCAAATTTCCATGTTATATGAATATGAAAAACTGATAAAAATTTGAAAAACTGGGTAGATAAGTTTATATCGAAAAAATTGTTTTTACTGTATTTGATCTCAATAAAAATTATTCTTGAGATGTGTTTTCATAATTTTCTAAGATTTTTAATACTAATAAGTAGATAAATGCATTTTTTAAAATGTGATTTTTGTCCCATCTCAACCAGAGTAGGTGCGACAATGTTTTCACTGCAGAATAAACGCGGGGTGAATCGGGACACTTTTTGAATAAAAAAAAATATTTATAATTCAAATTTTTTTCTTCTATCGTGTGAACGTGTTGCGAAAATATGTAGAAAGATGATAGTACCTGTAATTTTCATATAGATTGATACTAACATGAATTATTTATAATTTCGTCCTTAGTCACCGTTTGACGGTAACCTAACGTTAGCTATGCCTCGCCACTCAAAAACTACTTTCACACGCAGCTTTTCATATAATGCGGTTGTTCTGTACAACAACCTTAGTTTTGCTATTAAGGAATCTATTTCTCTTCTTTCATTAAAAAAAAAGACAACTGCTGATTTCTTAATCATAAAATAATGTTATATTATATATTTTTCTTTTTTGTTTTGTAATTTTATTTCTACTTTCTTTTTTTTATTTTGTAAATTTATGATATTAAGTATCGTTTTTGTTAATTCAATATATTTTATTTTCTATTTTTATCAAAGAATATCTACCCAAGAAGCGAAACTAAATGGGCAATTCGTGGACAAAAAAGTTTTCTCAGTGTTTTAGAGGTGGTTTAACGTCAAACATGCTGTCAATTTATGTAGAGCAACGTTTGGTATATTATTATTAGCATTTTGTGAAAATTGCAGTAAAGTACGTAATTGTATTTAACTATTAATTAGAAATTAGATAGTTTTAAGATATTTGTTATTTGAAAAAAAATACATTACATTGTTCGTAAATTTTAATAACCGTTCTTGCATCTGGCTGTAAATGTTTTATATTTCAAATTTCTAAATCAGTATTACCTCTAATGATGTTTTACGCCTACGTATTACGCATCGTTTAAATTCATAGTCTTTTTTTGTTTTTCAATTAATTCGGATTAAAACAGTAAATAAAAAATAATACAAAACAATAATTAAAATATATGACAAATTCACTCCGAGGTACCAAGTCGCTGCAATCAGGATGCAATCAAAATGCATTTGCAGCTACCTACATTACTCCTATATACAGTATGGTTCAAATGAAAGGAATAAATTCATTATAATGGAAGTATAGCTGGTTTTTCGAAAAAATGCTCGGACAGGTCAATTTTGTTTACTCAAAGCGCAATTTTTTAAATACAATTCAATTTTCCCCCACTTCCCATTTTTGGGCAGTGATGTCATTGACAATTTTTTTAAATGGTAACCTCAATTTTTTTTCTTGATTTTGATAGATCTTGCAATTTCCTACTCGGAAACATAATATTTGAAATATCTTACATAACAATTTTTTTTGAATAGAAGACATTTAAAGATCAGACACACAAATTTTATTTTATTTTGAGAACACAATAAATGAATAAAAGATAATTATTTGTAATTAAATGCTTAATCTAACAAAATAATAATAATAAAAAGAATTTGAGAAATTGTCATTAAATTCTTTTTATTATTATTATTATTTTTTTAGATTAAGCACTTAATTACAAATAATTATCTTTTATTAATTTATTGTTTCAAAATAACATAAAATTTATGTATCTGATTTTTAAATGGCTTTTTTCAAAAAAAATTGTTATGTCAGATATTTCAAATATTATGTTTCCGAGTAGGAAATTGCAAGATCTATCAAAATCAAGAAAAAAAAAATTGGGGTTGCTATTTAAAAAAATTGTCAATGACGTCACTGCCCAAAAATGGAAAGTGGGGAAAAATTGAATTTTATTTAAAAAATTGCGCTTTAAGTAAACAAAATTGACCTGTCCAAGCATTTTTTCGAAAAACCAACTACTTCCATTATAATGAATTTATTCCTTTCATTTGAACCATACTGTATGTGACGTGTGGAGAGTGAGTTACCCCACGGCACTTATGCCTCACTATGTCAATTATGCTTCCTTCTAACAGGACAGGCACCTCCTAGCTCGTGAGCTAGCCTTCAGGTTTAATGTAGTTGACAACGTTGCCAAGAGGTGCTTCTCATTTATTGGTCGGTGTTAGACTACTCGCCTGAAACAAATATTCCAATAAATGAGAGCATCGGGAAATCGTACAGGATAGCTCGATGTTCACATCTTCTTGTTCGCACCCCCTGCAGGGTGCAGATTCTGACAGTCCCATAATATAAAGATGCTTCCGTACTTGGCAATGATCAGTCAGAATGCCTGTATTCAGGCGCAGATTCTGTCAAGTCATAGTTAAGTATTTGTTTCCTGTTGTGTTGTCAGGAACACTTAAAAGCTCCTTGACAATATTCTTCAATTAGATTTGTCACTACTGATGTTGTCAGTCCAATAGAAGGGGCAAGTCCAAAAAGTATTTAGTTGGCTGCCTTCTTGGCTAGTGAATCAGCAAGACGGCTACCCTTTGATGTGACTTGACCTTTGATACATGGCTTATGGAAGATAAATATCGGTGAGATGAAGTTCATGTTAGCTTGAAGCTGTGAGAGCGTATCGAGCGCCTTTTGCGAAAAGTGACGTCTCGCCTCATCAGATCCTACATCATGTTCTATTCCAATCGTACAGAGGCGTGTCATTGCAATCAGAGTAACTTCCTTGATGTAAATATCAAGGGGAGTAATACTACGAACGACTTCCATGGCTCTGTTTGGTGTGGTTTTCATGGATCTTATGTTGAGAAATGCTGTTATTTGAATTTGTTCAAGTTTGCGGATAGCTATCAATTTTTGGATTTTCGGTACCTAGACAACTGCACCGTATGTTAGCATAGGTGTTTTATGATGGCCATGTAGGTCCATTGATGACTCTGGAGAAGAAACCCCATGTGGGTTCCACGGTTCGGCGGTATTGTTTACAAGCAATGTATGCTCTTGTGACTCTGTTTTCCATGTGTGAGTTCCCTGTTGCTTCACCTCTGTTGCAAGTTTTGAGATAGAATAAAGAGAAGAGATGCTATGACGATGCTAAAGTGTCCGCACCTTTGCATTACATTTTTACGTCATATGTCAAATTCGAGATAGTGAAGCTAATCAGTTTTGGTGAGAATAAATGCCATTTTTTTTTAAATATCTGCATTTAAATGATATATAATCATTGTCATTCCATCAGACTTCAAATATAAAATGATTGACTTCAAATAAATCAAAGTACGACTAAAGTCGTCATTTTCATTACACTTTTTCGTCACTAGAAGTGCGTTCTTATGTCATATCGCAAAACAATATCTATGTCGTCTCTACTTCATTCTCTCTTGATGGTTGCAAAGTTTTGTTTTGTGTTTAGGAGCTCGGGAGGTTTCAATTTCATTTTCATCCTTTTCCTTGTGAAAAGGACCATTTCCATTTTCTTGAGATTGACATACAGTGAATGACCCTTACACCACTGTCCTATAATTTTGAGACATACTTGCATTCTTTCGCAGAGTATGTTCTCAAAATGCTCTATTTGCAGAATGACCAGATTTTGTGCTTACGCTATTGTGTAGTGACTGTCATTATTGTATCTACAGTACTTATTTCGTTATTAAAATAATCTATTTTACATAATGAACATAGTAAGAATTTTCTGTTTCACTGGCCGTGCTCACTGTCATTTAGTTAATGATTTGTTTAGGAATTATACGTTTCTATGCTTCGTGTAAACAGTTGCGATGACGTTAAAGTGACCATTCGTCCCGTTTTAGGTCGGACAGTCCCGATTTTAAATCACTAGTCCCGATTTATCATGTGTCCCGATTTTATCCCGCTTTTAAGTCATTATGGTGACGTTTTTTGTTCTCCAATGAACCCTCACTACTTCAAAAAATATAATTCTTTGACAAAAAATCTCCTAATCTCAATGTTTTTGATTTATCCCACTTTCTAATTTTCAAAATATGGTCACTTTAGATGACGATGAACGAAAAAAGGACGGGTTGAAATTTGAAATAATTTGACATATCTTTATAGAGTTTGTACTTCAAATTAACCTAGGATCATTTATTATTACAAACATTTTGAGTCAGGTATTAAAATTATTTTACGGGAAAATATGTTAAAACGCATTTTACTTTAACTTGCGAAAACACCACTGCCACAGAACCCTTTCTTTAGTTCCCATTTGGCATACTTTCATACTTTAATTTGCGCTTTTACGTTTTAACGGTTTCAAAAAAGCTGTTTCGAGTTTGCTCGTTTACCTTTTACCGATTCGTAATCGTACGAAACTGTTTGATGACGGTGAACGAACCCATTGTTACTTTAGTATGTGTTTAATACTTATGAACCAAACGACAAATAAAGACCTTTTATTATTATTATTATTATTATTATTATTAAAAGAAAGCACGACAGTATTATGAATAAATGTACATATACTCCACTAGGTAGATCAAATAATTATATAATTTTCGATATTTTTCACTTACTTGACAAAAATTCCAGTACCGGAATCGCTATGTGTACAGTAGCCGAAATTTTCGACAAATTCAGTAGCACCTCCGGCAACAACTTGACCATGGACTCGCGCATTTCCAACGAACAAATCGTCAGAGCGGCAATGCTGTGTTTCGAACTCCTCGGTCCGATCGAGTTGGAACATTTGAGCAGACAACGGATCATTTTTTGTTGGTGGATTTGATCGAGATAGTTGTGATAGCAGGACAAGTTCACCACCACGAGTTGCGCGATGGCGTGGAAATCGGTGCGCGAGATTTTTACGTTCAGCGACTCGGGTAGGTTTAAGGTTCTTTCGGTGATCTAAAAAACGCGTTTGACAATATACTTAAGTTGAAACCATATGGAAAAAAATGTTATTGATTTTAGGAAAAAAAAAATTATTCTTGATAAAGAGTCCTGTATGACCCAAAATTTAAAATACAGCCATTAGATATTAAATTTTTCAAGCAGTATACGAGGTTTGTCGAAAAATATGAATTTTGCTCAAGAGTAAAAAGTACGTTTATTTTTGACAAAATCGAAAATTTTCATTAAGAAAAGTTGATTAGAATTGAAAATTACATTCAAATATGCAATTACACCGATCTATCTGAAAAAACAGATTTTCTTATTCTTTATAAATTTTTCTACACATTAATTGTAAATATCTGAAAACGTTGTAAATTACGTTAGCTTTTAAAACATTCGTTATCTTCTCTATTATAAACATAATATGCTTTCCTTTTCTTGACGTTTGTGAAGAATTTAGCAATTTTTTTAATGAAACTTTTCGATTTTGTCAAAAATAAACGTACTTTAATTCATATTTTTTGACAAACCTCGTATACAGCTCGAAAAATTTGATATTTGTTGACAGTATTTTAAGTTTTGGGTTATGCAGGACTTTTTATCAAGAATAACTTTTTTTCCTAAATTCAATAATAATTTTTTTTCCTTATGGTTCCAACTTAAGTAGACACACTGTATATATACTAGGAATATTTGGAAAACAGTAAGTAATAGAATAATCTTTTCAAGCTTTCGGAAATTTTATTAAAATGTTTTCATCATCAAGGAAGATACAACGCAAAATTTAAAAGAATGTCCAAGTATTTACATTTCCGCGAGAATGGATTGTATATCCATAGGTGACTGGTTCAAATCTGGTTCGAAGGACCATGTTTACACTGATTATAGTCCGTTGCAATTTATAGTAGGAACAGGGACGGTGTTTCAAAATGAACTATAACAATGTATGTTTTCTGTTTGGGGAACAAACATGATACTATTAATATCACGACCTGATGACAGCCTGTGGAAGCAGGCCATGGCAGACGAGTTGAAGAGTCTCCAGGACAATGAAACTTGAAAACTGGCCAGACTTGCCAGAAGGTAGTGCTTTAATGGGTATTCAAAATGAAGGTTGACAGTGCTAACAATAAAACCTACCGGGTTAGGTTAGTAGCTAAGGGTTTTACCCAAATAAAAGGGATAGATTATAATGAAACCTTTTCGCCCTAAGGTTGTTAATAGCTTTAAGTGTAAAATTAGATTTGGACATCTTCCATCTTGACGTACCCACAGCCTTTTTATATGGTCATTTAGAGGAGACCGTTTTCATGGGCCAACCTGAAGGCTTTGTAAATTCAGATGGGTCAAATAAAGTGTTAAAATTGAAACGTGCCATTTATTTCAATTTTCAATATATTTTTTAGTTGAATAAGTTGTGTTTGGAAATAAAATCTTTGTTATTATTTTTTTTTTAATTTAATACAAGTTCTCAGCGTGTTATATTTTTTATGTAATTTAAATGTTATTAAAAATCTTATTGACATATTGTAAATAAAGTATTTTTGAAATGAATGAAATGAATGTTATATTTTTTTCAATGCAATTTAGATCACGAAAGGATCTTTGTAGATATCAAATTTTAAAAATTATCTTTAACATTTGAACAAATAACACTCAACCTAAGCCGGCTCTGATCAGCATGTTGGCGAACGATTCAAGAGGTTGCCAGATCATTGCCTTTCTAGATTATCTTGCAACGGACTATAAGCAGAAGTATTGTTCCGAAAATTGGTAAATAAAACCCTTGATAATTTACTTTTTTTTTAAATTAGGGTTTATAGTAAGACAACAGTAAATGGACTGAATAACTATGGCCGTCCGACCATCGCAAATCTGCATGTAGACAGGACCGTCTTCAAGATTATTGCTTTATAAATTGCAGCGAACAGTTACATGGACGAAAAAAAAAAAAAAGTAAAGTTAATTATAAAAAATTTAAAATTCTATGTTAGTTTTAATTTTCTCCAAAGTTTTTTTTTACCATTAACCCTTTTAAATTCGAATTGCTTACATATTTTAATTTTGCGTTATAATGTCCCTGATAATTGAAACAAAATGTCCGAAAGTTTGGATAACTCTAAAGACTCTTCATTTACTTGCTGTTTTTACCAATAAATTTGTGGCAAAAATAATTTTTTTTATTAAATACCATTATATGAAGGATATCAACAAGCAGGTCTAGCTCGGAGTTTCCGTTTTTTGATAAAATGAGCGACTTGTTTTGCAAACCTTTGGCCATTTCCAATAAAACTAGACTCAAAACTTCCCAATCTGTAAAAAAATGTATTTTTTAAGGCAACTTTTAAGTCAGGAATAGTGAATAAATCGTCAAGGACAAAGCAGCCAGATTATAGAGAAATATTCTGAATTTTTGATATATTGCAGCCCCAAAAAAATTCCTAAACAATAATGTTCATGGACACAAATCAATTAAGATTAGAGGTTCCAATTGATTTTATCAAGTTTGCTCTTAAGATATATATAAAAATTGTGTAAACGTAGTTAAAATAAGCAGTGTCTATAAAGTGCTCCTTGCAAATTGTGAAATTTCTAAGGGAAATACCCGTTTGATAAATTTTAAAATTGGTGTACTTGAACTATCAATATTGATGCAACTGCTATCAAAGTGTGAGTAGAGAACTTTAATTATATGAGAAGATATTAATATTTTAAGATTAAATATATATACAGAGACATTTCGAGCTAATTACTACAGCTTAAAAACCAGTTTTTTACATATTTTGTACTTAAATCAGAACTGATAAAATACAAGATAAACTACGACAAATTAATTTCAATTATTGGTCAAAAGCACTAGGTTTACACAGTTTGCAAGTTGTTTAAACAAGCCGTTTAAGTAATAAATATAAAATTCTTATTGCATATTATTATTATTAATATTATATACAAAATAATATGAATAACGAGATAGCAGATAGAATAATAAATCATTTGAAAGCTGAAATACAGGACTCTAAAGAAGAACTAAAAAATATTATATGCGCTTCTGAAACAAGACTTTTAGTAAAAGTAGAAGAATTAAAAAGCAGAACCAATTACTTAGAAGAAGAAAATAACTTTCTAAAAAACAAAATTGAGCAACTAGAAAGAAGAGACAAGCAAAACAATATTGTTATTTTTGGATTGCAAAAGGTATCCAAAGAAGTATCTGTGGATAGTATTCTTGAGGTACTAAATACCAAATTGGACACAAATATTGGAAGTCAAGACCTCGACAACATAATCTGCCTTGGGAAACATCAAAACTGTCCCGTAAAAGTACAATTTTTGTCAAACCTTAAAAAACAAGAAGTGTTAAGAAACGTCAAAAAGTTAAAAAACAGCGGAATATCTATAACATACGATCTTACGAAACATCAACAAGAAGAATCAAAAATACTGCGGAAATTTTTAAACCTTGAAAGGCAAAACAATCCAGAAAAGAAGAGCTACTTGAAAAATAACAAACTGGTAGTTGGAAATACCTCATACACAGTTGAAGAACTTTTACAGAAGGAAGAATTAAACTTTGAAAAGAGAAAACCAAATAGTGCACCATCGACTCCTATCAGAATTATTGACCAACCGCTAAATGACTCACAAGTGAATGTGCCCATTCAACAAAAAACCTCTGAACCCGAAACAACAGCAAGCAACATAAAAGAAACGTCTAAAGAAAAATTGATAAAAGAACGCACTAAAAATCAAATTAAAACTCGCTCATTCTTCGACTCAAATAGTCAAAAAGAAGTGACATCTATTAATTTAATTCACTATATAATATATACTTGTTCATTTTTGTTACATTTTTTGTTTGTTTTGTCTAGCACTGTATGTTCCTAACATATTTCTATTTTAAGTGGATAAAAATATGGATGCTTATATAAGGGATGTGAACTATATATCGTTTGAAACCAAAGAATTAGAAAATTATAAACTTCTTAAAAAATATCTCATAAATGAAAAGCAAAGCTTTAAAATCATTCATCAAAATATACGAAGTATTTTTAAAAATTTTGATGAATTTAATATTATATTGCAAGAAATGGATTGTGATTTTGATTGTCTTGTATTTACTGAAGTGTTTAAAATAGGTGAAATGGGATGTCACAAACTTGAAGGTTATTACGCATTTTATAATGAAGGCAATATTAATAAAAATGATGGAACTATAATATACTTAAAAAAAGACTTTAACCAGTGTACTAACATTGTAGAGCTAGGAGAAAATAAAGTGATAGAAACGATAATCACATTCCATAACAAACAAAAATTAATGATTACTGCTCTCTATCGGCCACCTTCAACAAATGTTGAAAGTTTTATAATCAATCTAGAAGAATACCTAGAAAGTACAAAAAAAACTTCAATAGATTATCACATACTAATAGGGGACATAAATATAAATATATTTGAGAATAGTGAAGTAGTGAATAGTTATTTAAATCTGTTAGGAGAACACAATTTCTTATCTTTAATAAACAGTCCGACCAGAGAAAAAAATTGTTTAGATCATATATTTATAAATTCTAAAAAGTCAAATATAAAAGATAGTTGCATAGCAGTCACTCTCGAAACAAACGTAACTGATCATAAAACAGTATTTGCAAGTAACAAAAAAATATCAAAATAGCCCGACAACTTCTAAACAAATCATAGACTATAATAATCTAGAAAGTGACATGCAAAATTTTGACTGGTCGACGTATTATACATTATCTACTCCTGATGACATTACTGAATACCTAATAGAAACTTTAAACAGCTTTATAAAGAAACATACTAAAACAATAAAAATAAAAAGTGCAAATAAAGAAAGAAAAAACTGGGTAACACCGGGTCTCATAAAATCAATTAATAAAAAAAACTCATACAGGCAGTACATAAAAAATAAAACAGACATACAAATTGAAAACAAATACCTTGAATATCGCAAAAATTTAAATAAACTCATCAAAGCAACAAAGAAGGATTATTACAGAAAACAAATTCTTAAAAATAATAGTTCAACTAAAAACCTTTGGAAAATAATAAATGATGTAACAAATAATGTAAATGATAAAAAAATTGAAGAAATTGTTCTAGAAAACAATATAGTATGTAAAAATAAAAAAATAATAGCTGAAGAGTTTAATACATATTTCTCAAAAGTTGGAAAATGTTATGCCAAAAAAATAGTGAAACCAAATTCTGCTCCACCTAAAAATAAGCGAATGGTAAATTCTTTTTATCTATTACCTGTTAGTGAACATGAAGTAATATTATATCAACTCTAAAATTAAATAAGGCACCAGGAATAGATAACATTAAATCTGAAGTTATAAAAAAAAGTATCATCTATAATTAGCCATCCCTTAGTTTACTTAATAAATACTATTTTTGAAACCGGACTATGGCCTAGACAATTTAAAACTACTTTAATTGTTCCCATACACAAAAAAGGAAACCGAAAATTACAAACAAATTACAGGCCTATATCGTTAATTACAACTCTGAATAAGATTTTAGAAAAAGCTTTAACAAATCAATTTACCACATATTTAGAAAAATATAATTTACTGTCTGAAAACCAATTTGGCTTTCGAAGAGGAATGTCGACGGAAAATGCCATTACATCCCTAACAAGCAAGATATACAATCTTATTGATGCAAGCACTCCAACTGCTTGCGTATTTCTGGATCTAGCCAAGGCATTTGATACGGTTAGCCACACGCAACTGTTGGATGTCTTGGAGGATGCAGGAGTACGTGGGAAAGTTCATGATTTAATGCAGAGCTATTTGTTAGGTAGAAATCAAGTAGTCAGGATAGACGAAGAGGTAAGTAGTAAAAAAGAAATAAATTTTGGTATACCACAAGGTACCGTAATAGGACCTATTTTATTTATACTATACAAAAATAATGTACTAACCTACCATACAGAAGGTAGTATCATAAGTTTTGCGGATGATACTGCCATCTTATATTCAGCTGAAACCTGGACTGACCTAAAGGTTAAAATGGAAAACGATTTAGTAAAAATTATAGATGTATTTAGTCACAAGTTACTTACAGTAAATGTTCAAAAAACATTTTTCGTTCCTTTTGCTAGTTATAAAAATGGTTGGCCGAATTATAATTCATTAAAAATAAAAAATCTCGTTATAAACAGAGCCGATAGTATTCGATATCTAGGATTAACAATTGATTCCCATTTACGCTGGGATAAACATGTAAATGAAATTTGTAAGACCTTAAGGTATTTATTATATAAATTTCGCTACTTAAAATCTATACTTGATATATATCATCTAAAAATCGTATATTATTCACTAGTGGAATCACGTTTACGATACGGGATTCTCGGATGGGGTGGAGTCTCTGTCACCTACTTACAACCATTAAACATTATTCAAAAAAAAATATTAAAAATAATACATAACAAAAAAGTATCACACCCATCAGACGAATTATTTATAGAATCTGCAGTCCTAGATATAAGACAACTATTTACACTTGCTATGATGGTAAATTTACATAAAAATAAGCAGTTACTAATACCTATTCAACATTCATACCAGACAAGAAATCGATCACAACTATTTATTGCAACAAATATTGCAAAAAAAAAACCGTAGGCCAACGAAACTTCCAATATCTACAATTAAAAATTTATAATACACTTCCTGATATATACAAAATATACTTAAATACCATCAATTCTCATGCAATGATAAAATCCTTGCTTAAAACATATTTAATATTAAATAATAGGCACATGCTTAAACAACTGTTTGATTGATTCAAGGAAAACAATATATAATTCACACCCTTATCACGCATCAGTATTTTTGCTAACTATATTTTTTTTTACCAATTTAAATTTTTATTATTTAGTTATATAAGTTATAAATCTTATTATTATTATCTTATTATTATTATTATTATTTTATTATTTTAGTCATTATGTATACCTTAATTATAATTTCTTTTATCTACTGCGTTTTGGCAATTTCAATTTTTAATAAAAATTGGCATTTCCCATGCTCGACTAAACAGTTTTAATGGGGTCAATGATTTATTTACATTGAAGTTACAATACATATGTTTGTGTATTATTGTAAAACTTTTATATTATTATTATTATTATTATGTGTGAATAAATATTATTATTATTATTATTATTATAAAACATATCATTCCTAAGTTAGTGTAACTGAAGAATTATATCTTAATTTTTGTATAATATACTTTTTAAAATCAACACAAAAAACAGTGTCCACATCTAGCTA